TAGGTATAGACTTAAGTACATGGCCCATCAAAGCCTCTGGAAACCATGATGTAACTAACTGTGGAAAAGCTAGTCCAGCCCAGCAGGTTTCAGGCATTTTGGTCTCAAGACCCTTTTCTGTTCTTCACAGTTACTGAGGGACCTCCATAAGCTTTTATTGATGTAGATTGTATTTATCGATATTTACCATGTTAACATTACAGCTGAGGAAATTTAAAAATATTCATTTAAAAGTAACACAGACTCATTACATATTAACACAAATAGCACTTTTATGAAAAGTAATCACATTCCAAAACCATCCAAGAAATTACAGGTGAGAAGAGTTGCATCGTATTACATTTTTGGAAATCTCTTAATGTCTGGCTTAGTAGAAGACAACTAGATTCTTATGTTGGTTTCTGCCTTCAGTCTCTTGCATTACATAGTTTTGATTGATGTATATGAAGAAAATCATTCTTAGACAAATACGTAGCTGGAAAGGGAGGAGCCTTTGTAGATGATTTTATTCTTTGACATCACACCCGTACTCAACCAATGGTAGTTTCTTAAAGGTCAGTTGTTACAGGAATCTGAACCTATATCAGTAAACTTTACATATTTTGTTATATTAAAACCCATCGGTTTGCCTTCCACTTTGAATGGATCTCTTACCTATGCAGTTTTGTAATATCTTGTATTGATCATTTGAAAATAATGTTTCACTGAGTTATGTACTTCTTTCCAATTGTCTGCGCCTTTCATTATGCAGTCTCAAAGAACCCCATATCACCACTGACCTCATCAGAAAAGTCTTTAAGTGTTGGAAGGCTGTCAAACTCATGGTGGCACATAGAGGTTTTTTAGAATTGTAATTTTTGCTTGAAATTGTATATTCTATTATTGGCCACAATAACTATTAGTTATTTTCCTTGACAGGCTTACTTGATTCATTTTTGAGAAAATAACTGTATTGGTTCTTCTTTTAAGTAAAAATAACATTCCATGAAAAAATGAGCTAGCTTGCAACTTAAATAATCGTGCAAGTGCTTTTCCCCTGGAAATAGTCATCATACTTTTTGGTATGCAGGAGAAGTGCTTTATTTGTAGTTCTCATTTTGTCACACAAAGTATGTGTACTCAAGGGTCAAGATTTAATAATATTAACAAGTTGTACTGCTTTATCACATCCTTAAATGAAGCTGGCTTTGTTTCTTTTTAAACTGGTAGTGAAAAATACTGTAATTATTAGTATAGTTTGGTGCCACGGCATTGATTTGTGTTAAGGCACCAGCAGTTTTGCTCACATTTTTTTTTTAATAAGTTTTATTGAAATGTAATTGACATATCTTAAAATTTACCCAAAGTGTAGAATTTAATAGTTTTTTAGTATATTCACAAAGTTCTGCAACCCTCACCACAATCAACTTTGAAACATTTTTAGCACCCCGCGCCCCCTCCCCCCCCGATAAACCTTGTACCCATTAGCAGTTACTCCTATTTTCCCCAGAGCTCCCCAGTCCCTGACAACTGGCTGTCTACTTTCTAACTCTATGTATTGGTCTGTTCTGGACATTGCATATTAATGGAATCATACAATCTGTGACCTTTTGTCATTAGCTTCTTTCACTTACCATAATGTTTCCAAGATTGATCCATACATATGTGTAGCATGTATCAGTACTTGAATCTTTTTTTCTGGATGGATAATATCCCATTTGTTTTTCTGAGTCGCAGGTTCATCAAACTTTTGAAGCCCCCCCCACCCCCCCAATTTTTAACTATTATTAATTCTGCTTTGTACAATTTTTTTCTGTGGATATGTGTTTTCATTTATCTTATGTGCATACCTACCTGGGAGTAGAATTGGTGGGTCACGTGGTACCTCTGTTTCACCTTCTGAGAAACTTCCCAGCCTGTTTTCCAAAGGGCCGCTACATTAAACATTCCCACCAACAGTGTATGAGGGTTACAATTTCTCTACGTCTCACCAACACTCCATTATCTTTCATTTTAGAGCATAGCCATCCTAGTGGATGTGAAGTTGTATCTCATGGCACTTTCGACTTGCATTTCTCTCACAGATAATTCACCTTTAGCCATCATCATCGTTGAAAAATCAACACAGTGAAAAACACAAATAATGTCTTAGGATAATTATGAAAACAGTTTTGACCTAGGGGATCCCCTGAAAGTGTCTCTGGATCCCCCAAAAGTGAAGTCACTCAATAAACTAGGAGAGGTGTGGGATGTGTTTTTAGCGTTGTACCTTCTCTCTGCATGGGCAGGGCATTAGCAGTGCCTCTTTTCCCCGTGAAACAGATTTTGGGAGGCAGTAATGGGCAGCTGGGTTCAATAGTGGGTGATGATGGTCTGCTCAAGCCAGCCATCTGTCTGTATTGAAGCCCTTCTTACACTGTAACTGCAGGGAAACCAGGGGACAAGAAGAGGTACTGCTACAATCTGATTATGTAATAACCTGAGACGGTCCTCTTAAATATGTAGTAATAAGGTTTACTAAGTGTTAAGTGCCTACCGAAACCCAGACATTGTGCTAGATGCTCTCCATACAGGAACATCTGTTATCCTCAGTCTACAGAAGAGAAAACTGAGGGATTAAATAACTTTTCCAGTTGTTAATAGCAGAGCTGAGAATTGAACTGCTCATATAGTGTCAGTGAAAGGGGACAAACCCACAGAATAATTTTTTTTAACTGAGCAAAGAAAAGTCATTATAGACTTGGTATTTCTTTAATATCAGGCTGCATCTTGATGCACATCTTGGTGACAGTAACAGAGCATGGAGAAGTATGGATATTTGAGATTTAAAAAAAAAAACAAAACCAAGAAAGTTCCTGTATCATGTTTCAATAAAGGAGCTCTGTTCACTGCTTTAGAAAATTGGTGAATGGTCAAGAATTGCCTAGATTCATGTTCTTTGGCTTGATTTTTAATCACATTGAAGTATGACTTCTTACAGATGTTGCTTTTAATTTGTCTTGAAAGCAAGCACAGATACTGCCAGCTTGGCTATGATTGATGGTTTCTGACAATGTGCACTTAGTTACTTACACTTAGAATAAATGCCAACCATTTGAAGCTCTCCATTTTTTCTGTAACTGAGAGTATCCACGAGAATCTTATACAACACAGAATCACAGACCATATTTTGCTGTGGTATGGTCTTTACTTCAGAATTGAAAATCTATTTAGAATATATAATCACGGGTTGGGAGAAGCTTTAGAGATCAGGGTTCACATCCAGTCCAGATATGGAAAATGTAAATCTCTGTGGTATATATGCCATATAAACAGTAATAACAAGTGGACCAAAGAAGTAAATCTAAGCAATTGAATCTAGAAGCAAATAGGAGGAGACGTAGAGGAATATTTTACTGTTTGAAGACATGGGAGGGCTTTCTAGGCATAAAAACAAAGAAAGAAACTAAAAAATGGGCTAGTGGAGTTAGCTCTACAAGAAACGAAAAACAAATGACAAGAGGATGATTTTGCAACCTGTAATGCGTATATGGAATTTAAAGGGCACATAAAATGGAGGTGGTGAAAGAGAAATGTTGAAGGAACTGTGGATACAAGTTATCCCCAGTCTACAGATCCTCAAAAAAGAGAAGTAGTATCTTTGAGCTTTCTGAAGAGCAGGTAGGAGTAGGGGAGTTTGACTTCTGCTCCTTCAGGCCAGCAGACAGAGATTTTAGCTCAAAGGAGGAAGAATTTTTCTCTTTACAGCTGCCTGGTCAGGTAGTGAGTTCTGCCTGGAATTCTTCAAGTACAAGATTAGGGAGAGGGACATGTCCTGGAGTGGAGATGCTTGACACGCAAGTAGCCAAGGTGACCTTTTAAGGCTCCTTCTGTTAGGAAATGCACCAAGAGCCTTTGTAAAATGACAGCTATAGGGACTCACCGTCTCTTCTCCGCACTGCACTGCTCTGCCTGAAGCTTGTGGGGGTGGAGCAGACCAGGCACAGGGTGGCCTCCCTCCTCTGCCTGCTGGGTGGTTGCAGGGCAGGGGTGACCTGTGGGTGTGAGAGAGAGGAAGAGTTAGGAAAGGCTTGTCGATTCCCAGAATGGGGCCGGAACTGTTGAGTCTGTCTAGGTTTGCCAGTCCTAGCTATAAAGCAGACGAGAAAACTCAGGACAGCAGCATCATTGTAATGTGCTGTAAAAACCTCGAGCATCACTCACTTTTCCTTTTGAACTCCCTAAGTGCGTGGGGTCCAGCGTTCATGGTGGTAATTGGCACTGAGAGCCACGGTGGGGCGGGGAGCCTGTGCTGGTGACAGGCAGTATAGCATGGGCAAGGTGCTCATCTCCTCTGTGCTAATTGGCTTCATCTATAAACTGGGCATGAGGAGAGTGTCCTGTCCCTTCGGATTCAAAGGCTGAGTGTACTTCAGAGCATTAGCACTGTTCCCCTGGCTCAAGGTAAACTCCTCTGAGGATCTAGCTCAAACCTCCAACACCCCTCTTTCTCCTCTGTGGTCACCAATGGGTCAGGTCAAGCAGCTGCGTCCCTGACCCACGTTCTTTGGCAGATCTTCAGCCTTGAAATGCACATCTTTGAATCTGAGAATTTATTATCCGAGATCCCCTGTATCGTTATACACAAGGTGCTCCTGTTCTTGGAATGTGACTGTTGGTGGTATTGTCTTCATTTTAATTTCTCGCTCTTTGTGTTTGAGGCATGATGTTGATATTCTGAGGGCTGTTGAGGTTTTTTGGTAGGGATTTTTAAAAATTGATTTTTCAATCATTTCAATCAAAGGAAATAATCGTTAGGATACGCTTATAATTTTTTATTTCGTCTCAGTGTTTAAGATGATTCTTGTACTTGGTGTTGTGCTACTGGTGAGCTTTGACTTAGGGCTGCTCTTGAGAGAGCGATAAGACTTGATGTGTGGAATATTTGCCTTTTCTTTTTCATTTTGACTTTAGGAAGTTTAGATTCCATGGCTGCATACTCAGTGTAGTGACTTCATTCTTCCTTTGTCCTTCCTTCCTAGTTTTCAACGGTTCCAGCAGGTCATCACGGGAGAAAGAACCTGTTCAAAAACACAAAAGCAAAGAGGCCACTCCCAGCAAGGAGAAGCACAGCGATCAGCGGGCTGACAGCCGGAGGGAGCAGGCTCCAGCGAGCCACCCCCCGACGGCCCCCTCCACGGGCTCCTCGGCCAAGGGGCCCGCTGCTAACCACCACCACCCCCCTCTGCATCGGTCGGCTCAGGACTTACGGAAACAGGTAAAGCCCAGCCCTGTCTCACAGGTGACTATGGTCTGGCTGAGAGGGTGCCTGTCCGTCTACCAGATGCCACCTCCCCATGTCACCAAGTGAGAAGTAGCCTCAGTAAATTTATGTTTTGAGGGCTTTTGAACCAGGAAGGTGGTGCTCAGAGGTGAGGTGGGGAGAGAGAAGCATCACCTTGCACAGAGATGCAAGTGCGTGCACCTTTCCTCCCGTGAAGGTCGATCGCACTGGGTTGACGGTGGGTTCGCATTCATCCCTGGAGCATACCGCAGTCACCAAGTGCCACGATCTGGCGAATCTTGGGTATCAAAATAGGTCAGAAAGATGGAAAGGGAGTGCACCTTCATTCCTCCTCTTCCACCCCACGTGTCCTGGATACCAGAGGAGTTTCAGAGTCTGGGGAGCATGTTGTCAGATCAAGAGCAGATAACTTATACCTTGAAACAGGCCTGCAGACTGCCTGGGCTGTCAGTGGACGAACCTGGACCATTATCTGTCCTTCTTAATGTGACAAGTTAGCATCTCTCCACCAGGATTTCTCAGCAGAGGACGTGCATGGGCACTTGCACCGCTGAGCAGTCTGCGTGAGGCGGAGTGCAGAGTGAGTGGTGCAGCTGAGCGCATTTCAGTTCTGCACCGTAGGATCAGCAGATGTAGATGCATGCTGCTCTCCCCCCATTGCCCACTGCCCCCCATTTCAGTGTCATTCAATAGCACAGATCCTGTTGGGGAAACTCTTAAGAATGGCCTCAGGGCTCAGCCATTGTTGCTGTCACGGTGTTCATGTCCTTAGAAAATGATCTCTCAGGATCCTGGGAGAGAGAGAGTAGGGATAAAGGCAGGTGCCTAGAGGCGATGCGGTGAAAGGCTGTCTCACCAGGGTCAAGTGGCATTTCATTGACCCCTCTGCTCCTATTCTAACTCCATTTTAAAGTCGGCCCTAGAGATCATCGATGAGCTTGCCTCATTGAGAATTTTATCACACAGTGTTAAATTTTTCCCTATAATAGACTGGGAACTATCTTTAAAGATCGATTAGGGCGAGTTGTGGGTAGACTGGCAATTACTTGGCTGGCAGTATTCTGGAATGACTGAAAGATGGTCATTGTGGTGTTAAGATAGTGGAATTCTTCCTTTTGTTGAATTGTTCTTTACCTGTGGTCTTTCTCATTCTTGATAATGTTAGAAATATTTCTCTCTGGATATGCGACTGTATTCATACACATACATACATAGGAATGTGTGCGTGCACACACATTATTAGTATTATAGCTTTCAAATGTTATTCATCTCTTCCGTTGGGGTGAGGTGGATGAGGCAGGAATCCTCATATGTTTCCACAGTCCTCAGATATCTGCTCCTTCATCCTTTGCAATGTTATCTTGTAATTAAGTGGTTTTAGCATATTTTAAACATTGCCTGTTCTTCCCATTTTCCTAGGGAGAATGACTAAATGTGATTGTGGAATTGGCCTCCCAAGTACTGGGTGCCCAGTTTTCCAGGACCAAGAGGCACAAAGCTTAGGGTGCACCATACCTTTGGTTTTTGTGTCTTTGATGAATTATCTTTGTTTCATTTCCGAAGTTGATGGTCTAATAGGCACGTATGCAGAGCTGTCCTCTAGATGTTTTGCTTATGAAGGAGAACAATTAAAAAGGGACCCAGGGAAGGAGAGGACACATCAGTAGGGCAGGATTGAAGGGCTATAAGGGATGAATATGTACCTTTATATTCACATGGAATTATAATAACATACATACACTTTGTCACTTTCATGTATGAGGCTGGATTCAGTAAATCTTTGGTCTCAGTTGGTCATAGCTTTTCAACTTTTAACACTTTCCTTTCAATTCACGTTTCCTTTGTTGCTGAACAAGAGGTATTCTCACCGTTGGAGGTAAGATTTGAGGGGAGCTGAATGTACCATTTGCCCCAGGATCACCCTGCCCATTTCACATGCAGCATCAGAGTTGGAGGAGAGATCTGGGTGCTCTCCTTACAGAGCAGACCCCACCATCTGAGTAAGAGCTGGGGCCTGGCTTGCTTTCTTTGTTCAGGTTAGCGTCTTCACAGGTAGGGTATAACAGTACAGGTTCTTCTGTCTATCCCCCCTGCCCCTGTCGAATCGACCCAGATAGGATGGCCCAGGGCTCTCAGTTCTGGTTTGGCTCTGACCATGACCTTCTGTGAGACTCAAGATGTGATATTTAACCTTTCTAGGCCCCATTGTTATTTTGGAGCCAATCATGCCAACTCCTCTCAGAGAGGGATATTGTGAGAAATGAAAGGATAATTTTGAAACCATCAAATCCCATTAGTTTAAATACTCTGAAAATAAGGTCAATAAAAGCAAATTGCAGATTCCTTTTAACTGCTCAATGCAAATGATTAGAATCTGACCTTTCATCTTTTTAACTACATAAAAGGTAGGGGCCCAAAGGATACTCTGATCTTTAATTGCAAATATGATTAATTTTTTTTTTGTCGGCCTAAAAGAGAAAGATACACATGACTGTATGAAATAGTGTGAATGGGCAGGTGGAGGGATACAGTGTTTACGGGGTACTGCCGAGAAGTGATCTTGCCCTGTTAACTCAGCCAGTACCTGATAACGCGTGATTTTTACTAAGATAGCCCTTCTCCCAGTTACCTGGCACCATGCCACGTATCGTTCTTACACTTTCTATAGGCCCTCAGCTCCAATACTTAAAGCATGTGAACATGCACTTCACCTATGCCTTTTTCTTGATGTGAGAGGCCTTGCCAGCCCTCTAGCGTTTATAACGTGATACATGCTATGCTGTCTGTCATGTGGTACATGTGCATACATAGTGGCCCTGGGGTTGTCAGGAGAAGTGGCTCTGCTGGATAATAATTTGGTGTGTGGTAGGTGTTTGGCAAAGGAGCAAAACCTATTTTTTGTTTCCTTAAAATAGCATTTTGGTTTAAATGCAGTAAAAGACAGTAAGAAATTTAGCATGGTAAAACAAATGAGCTTATACCTTGAGAGGGTTTCGAAGTATTAGTTTTCCAAGGGGATCACGAGGAAGTTTTCAATTGTATAGAAATGTGTTTGGTCGGTAAGCCAGGACGTGGATGTTAGGCTGTACTGAACGTGTCACCCCTCTGTGCTTATTTATGGCACTGAGGCTGAGCTCTAATGTGAAGAAGAAAATTGCCAACTCCCTTTATAACTCAACAGCCTGTCCAGTAGAGTTCTCCTTATTTTAAGCTTTTTTTTTTTTTAATTCAAGTTTTAAAGCCCAAGGGGATTAGACGACTATTCCTAACCAACAAATGTGTTTTTTTTCTCTTGAGTTCTGAAAGGGTGGGCAGAGGCACCCAGCTCAATGCCTCCCTCTAGTGGGAAATAAGAGCTTGACAATTGAATTTCTGGTTGAACTGAGGATGGCTTCTTTGACTAGGACTGGTCGCACTATAGAACTTCAGGGCTGTGTGCCTTGGGGTAACAGGTGACAGGTAGGTGTGGTGGGCCAAGGAGAATAAGCTGCAGACACCCTACTTCCTGCAGAACTGGGTGAAAGTGGGGAACAGTGGGATGCATAGTCAGAAATCTTACCAGAGCCGAGAGGAGCCACTTGAAGAGGTAAAGTTGTTCAGCTGAAGTGTTTTTATGGCATGTTGGAAGGTTCTGCCATAGCCACCTTTGTGTTAAGTCTCCAGTGAATTAAAATGACTCCTGTCTCATGTGCTCAGAGTAAGCACTTCCTCAGGATGTGCAGCAGTGGTCCCAGACCCCACGTGCGAGCTGGCCAAGTGTCTTGTTTGGTTCTGTCTGATATAGCAGTGGTTCGGGGGAGACCTCAGTGGCAAGGGAGAACAATGCCTTCTTCTAGACCTGTTTTCTTGGATGCCAGTTAAACATTGGACCCCTAGAAACCAAGTACAAAGCCAAGGAATAAGCATCTGTGTGTTAACCGGTGTGTCCTGGGGTATTGGTTCTGTTTCATTACTATGTTTATGACACATGGCACAGCCAGTGGGACAAATTGATGCCTGGACTGGCTTGTCAGCTGCATCATATCCTCTATGGGAAGGCACGAAACACAGGCACACTGGGTATGGGGTGGGAAGAGAGAAGAGGGTCAGGGAAACATACCCTTTTTGGTCTTAATAATTTATTTCTCTATAAATTAAAGTTTGCTGTTCTGATGGATTGCAAGGGAGATACATTTAGTCCACAGTCTTGTTATATGAACATGTATGTATAATGTTTGGGTGGACGCTTTTTTAAAAAAGCGTTTTTCAATTACAATTGGCATACAATATTATATTAGTTTCAGGTGCACAATGTAGTAATTAGACATCTAGGTAACTCACGAGGTGATCACCCCAATAAATCTAGTACCCATCTGACATCGTACATAGTTATTACAATATTATTGATTATATTCCTTCTACTCTCCTTTATTTCCCCATGACTATTTCATAACTGCCATTTTGTACTTCTTCATCCCTTCCCCTTTTTTCAACTACTCCCCAACATCCCTCCCATCTGGTAACCTTCATAATGGACTCTGTATCTATGAGTTTGTTTCTGTGAGTTTTGTTGTTGTTGTTTAGATTTCACATGCATGTGAAATCATATGACATTTGTCTTTCTCTATCTGACTTACTCCCTTCAGCATAATACCCTCTAGGTCCATCATGAAATAATATCTTTTTCCATCTCTTTCCTTTTAGTTTGTGAGTGTCTTTTAATCTGAAGTGAGTCTCTTATAGGCAACCTATGTACAGGTTGTGTTTTCTTATCCATTCAGTCACCCTATCTTTTGATCGAAGCATTTAATTCTTTTTCATTTAAAGTACTCCTTGATAGATACGTAATTATTGCCGTTCTTTACACATATTTTTTGATATATACTTTTTTCTTCTTAAGTCCTTCCAACATACTGGCTTGGTGGTCACAAACTCCTTTAGCTTTTTTTTATCTGGGAAGCTCTTTATCTGTCCATTAATTTTAAATGAGCCTT